TGAGTTTTCGTATCAATACGTATAGCCAAGGCTCTTTGTATGCTATGCACCACCGTGTATATTGTGGTACGTCTGGTGTACCTACTCTCCGTTAAGAGGTGTGAAAAGTAAATTTGATTAGCTTATATAAGAGTTTGGCATCACTGGCAGAGTCTATACTCCTTTTCACTTTGTAAAGCGACATATCAAACATAGGACATTTACAGTAACGAGCAGTATGGAACAAGCCGCGCAAATTATATCGCCGATATCGCACAACGTTAAAGAATTTAGAGAATTTAAAAAAAAAAACAACTCATAAAAGTAGCTAACGCTCTGTGTTTCTTTTTTTAGTCAGACGTATTGAGTGCAACATTTTATTGCACTTTTTTTTTCTCGAATGAAATTGCTGCAATAACGCATTGCCCACCTTTCACTTGAGAATGTGTTGCGTATAGCGATGTCATATGGAAAGTTCTACCAAGATAGCGACAACAAAACTCTTCCTACAAGCCCATTTGCTATATTAAGTTGACACTAATGTATTTAGTGCAATGTTTACAGGAATTAAGTACAGTATAAAACAAAGGCACAGCGGCAGACATCCAAAGTGACTACTGCTAAGCTAGTATAGGGTCTTTTGTTTTATTCCCATTTCACTAAATAACGACACTGACAGGTTGGGAAATTGCACAGCGCGACAACTGAATCCCTCGTGGAACCGACCACACAGCGTTTACTTTTTACTGCTATAGAGTGAAGGGTAAGATGTTTTAGAATCATGCACGTATAGAGGTGCACGTATGCAGTAATAAATGTTTCAGACATGTATAGAATAACCTTGCCATTGTCATGACCAAAACAGATTACGGATCCTGCGGGCAGAATATCTTCGTGTCGAACGTGAAAGTGCCATGGTTTTTCGCCATCAAGGTATGGTTCCTAGAGCATCACAACTTCTCCTTTGGAGACACCGGGAATAACATTCCTTCAATGGTTGGCCATTACACCCAGGTGCGTGAAAATGAATTTCAAGTATGTATGTACGGACGCAAGTGGCAGATGATTAAGATCCATTATGACGCACGCAAGTTGAGTTTTGCATGATAAAATTAAGGCTTCAGTATAGGTTTGTTAATATGTCAGCTTGTTGTTATATACAGTCGAACGGGGCCACATCGAACTCTGCTAAATCAGATTAGTTTCGTACCGAAATATTTTGAAATGAGGCAATGCTTTAAAGAATGCACGTGAAAACCCTACGGCTACATGAAACAAAAATAGCCGGAACGCTTGATATGTCGAACATTGGGCTGGGCGAAACGTCCCCCGAAGTTGGTATTTCCCTCACAAAGTTTTTCGCTATCCCTCATCGAAGAAGGCCTTCCCGTACGCATTTGGGAGATCGAGTGGTGGGATTATTGGCACCGCGTGGAACGAGTAGAACGAAGTTGAAACTACCGCTTCCCATAGCTTTCACCCTCTATTCGTTGTCGCTACGTCACCGGCCTGTCGTGCGGGGTCGCCGTTCACTTCTCCACTCGTTTTCTAAGTCCGATGTTGTCGTAAAACATAAAAAAAAATCCAGATTTTCACCGCAAAAGCTGAAGATAATCAACATAGCTGAACGTTGAGAAAAAAAAAGCCTTACGTTGCCGCCACGTACAGCATGCCAAGAAGTAGGCTGAGTATGATATTGAAAAGCAAGGCCGATGACCAAGGTATAGACTAGACGCTTCCGGGGCCCACTGAGTGTGCATAGGCGTGTGTAAAGATTTCGAGCCGCTATTTTCATGAATACCACAATTATTTCCTTGCATATAACCCGCGCGTGCATATAACCCCGCCTCCCCAGCTAGAAACCGCGAAGAAAAATACAGAAAAAAAAAGGAAACCCGTGAAGGGCCGTGAATGAGTCTTCTTTACATTACTGTGAGAAGTGTCGTGAAGCCAACTTGCGCATCGAAAATCCCCAATGCTGGAAATTTAATACTTCCATAATAAATAGTAAATAAAATTTCAAATATACCAAACTAGCTCGCGCTTTTTTTCGTGAATTGGATATATGCGAGTTTTAAAATGTATTTTTGAGGAGGTATGCTGCCGAGTGCAAGTGGAACAGGGGCTAATACCTGCAGGGTTTTACGTCCCAAAACGACGATATCATTTGAGAGACGCTCTTAGTGGAAGGCTCCTGAAATTTCGACCATCTGATTTTCTTAAAGTGCACTGACATTGCACAGTGCATGGGCCTCTACAATTTCGCCTCCATTGAAACGAGATCACCTCAGCGGGGATCGAACCCGTGACCTTCGGGTCAGCAGCCGAGTGCCCTATAGCCACTGTTACACCGAGGCGAAGAGTGGCTATACCTTGAGAAATAGAGCGTCTACACCTTGAGACGTTGGAGGCAACGTTTCGACAACTGGGCTTGTCGAAACGTCGCCTCTGGTGACGTTCCAGGAATATTTCATCTCTACCTCGCTCGACCTTTGCCAGGATGACGCCTTCAGTGTTTCGATGCTTGCCTCTCTCCACAGATGGTGTGGTACAGCTCACACAAAGTGGGATGCGGCTTTCACTACTGCGACCGAAACGTCGTGAAGAAACCGTTCTACAACTACGTGTGCAATTACTGCCCCATGTGAGTTGCCTTTCCCCAGTGCTTTCGGCGGCAGCAAAGCGAAGCATTTCTTGATTATCGAGATTTGTTATCCACCTCCTTCTCTCTTATGTTGCTCTTTCAGCGGCAACTATCCCGAACGCTTTGGAAAGCCGTACACGAAAGGAAAACCCTGCAGCAAGTGTCCCGGCCACTGCCGCTCCAAGAAATTGTGCAGTTGAGTGCACCCTTTGCTATAGCGGTTCACTATGATGTATAGGCCATTGCGTCAATAATTACGCAGGCTTATTTAGTAGTAGTAGAAATAACCCAACAAGAAACATAACAACTAAATACTTATCACTTCAACTCCGTGACAAAAACGCTTACAAGCTTTCGGGGTGTGCCGTGTAGTAATGTGGCTAACGTGAATGCTTCGTTTGCGCCTTCCTTTTTTCTTGTGCTCCGTCTTTCGCAGTGTTTACTGTCCACTACGTGTTGTATAAGCACATGCATATACGGTTTATTTTCTAAACAATACAGATTCACTTACAAAAATGATATGATAGTAGGGAACGTACCAACCATCTTCGCACGCAAACTCTGCATCTAGGTAAAAATACCTCTCCAATAATGTTACGAATAAACAGAAACTTCTAAATTAACTTATTATTATCAACTTAAGGGCAGCTGTTGATATGGAAAATTTGTAGAAACTCTTTATTCATGCCATACCTATTTTTAAGAAATAAGAACAATAACACGTATTTGAGACATTCATTATCGATTCGAGGCCCCGATACCGCAACCAAGTGCGATCGGCTGTGCTCAAGAGGTGGTCACTTTGTTACATCAGACCGCAACTTCTGACACAGTGGTGACGAAATTTGAATGAAGGCACTCAGGAGCAGAATGTCGTCAGGAGAAACAGCATGTAGCCGTAAATACCCAAATGGGCGTTTTCACTTTTTTGTCATGTGTAGAGGTTATCTACTATATCTTTTTTTTAATTATAACAAAGCGTGATGCACTCTTTTGGTCGTCGCGATGTCCGAAAGCAGAAGCGCCGCAGTGGCTGCCCCTGAGTTTTACGCTGAATAGTGAACGAAAAGGTGAAGTTAGCGGTTTTATTGCACGTAGCACGAGAGAAACGGGTAAGTGTCAAATATCCCCCGCAAAGGTAAGGCCAAACACTAAGCTGGTGCAAGCGAGATAAACTACCGCTTTTCGCAACAGGATACAAACGCGACGTGCTTTCTTTCAAAATTTGTTCCTTTTTCCGTCACAGGAAGCTCGCGTCTGACGTAACACAGCGCAGCGCATGGTTTCTATCGCATCCCGCCGTTACGGAACCTACATGAACCACTGCAAGGGTTTTTTTCTGCGCACAGAACGTTATATAGGGCACGCTGCAAGCACTGTGCGCAATTGTGCATGTCACAAGGTATTTCGCAGGCGTCTGTGGTGGGCGCAGAATCACTAACACTTAATAGACAGAAGGATAGAAAACTGCTTTATTCGGGCATTTTGCGAACCGATCTACAAATTTCTAATTGCAATTTTAGATTCGCTTTATTGCTTCGAATTTTGGTTCATTCATCTTGCGTAATTAAGCAATTATTTATAACACAGCGAAATTGTGTTATTTGCTCCATACAATAATCAGCAACATACATTTGGTCGCGTCGTCATTGAGTGAGTTGGCAGATTTCAAGCTCTGGCTAGACTCAGCTGGAGCACCTCGTATATAGAAGCATGCGAACTACATAGTGCAATTGCAACATCTGCAGGCTAACTGGAGCTGTGTCTCCTTCTCTCTACCTTTCTTTGCACCCCAGCAAACGCCTGCGAGCACGCCGACTTTTGGGTGAACTGCCGCGAAATCTCCAAACATTGGCACAAGTGGCTGTGTAGTGACCCTACCAAAGAACAGTACAAGGCCTGCAAAGCGACGTGTTTGTGCAAGGAGCGCATCAAGTGACCAGCATTGCACGAACTACGGACGGCTTCGAGACGCTTCCTGACTCTCGGAAGTCGGCACTTTTTGGCTAGAGTCCAAAAACACCAGTGACAATGTGATGGAGCCCCACAGTCACATGTCCGTACTCCAGTAACAGCCAGTGTCATTGCGTCATGTGCGTGAATTGACAGGCACACATTCGACACTGAGTGCTTATCCGATAAAAGTGCACAGTTATGCGTGATGTAATTCTTTCCCGAAAATCTTTGGAGCATGATGCTCGTGATGGGAAGAAAACAAATCAGTATTTCTAGTCACACTGCGAGATGTGTCGTGTAATGAGTAAGCAAAAATATGTAAGTAGGGTGAACGACGTCACCGCAGATTAAGGATTGAAACACTCAGACCAACACCTTGGGTGACAGAATAATAAAGCGCAGTTGCGTGCAGTGAGCCTCGCCATCCATTGTATCGTTCACTTACAGATTCATATGCAGCTACCTGCAGCGGCACCAAAACTTGGTCTGTATAGCCAGACAGCAAACGCGAGAGATGTGAGCTTCTCATGACGACGACGTAATAGCACACCCGCCGAATTCCTGGTGGTCCCTGCTTTCGCCTTTGTGTCTATTTATTTATTTATTTATTAGAATACCCTCAGGGCCCGTAGGGCATTACAGAGGGGGTGAGTACAACATTTATAACACACAAGAAAAAAAAGACAAAATAAAGAAACAAGTGTCAGATGCGCAAATCAGGAAGGCAACATAAGTCAACTAAAAATGTATAAGAATTCAAGCACATACAAGACAAAGATAGATAATGGAAACTGCGTATAGTTACAAGCATTGCTGAGAAATTGCAGTCTTGAATAACAAAGGGTCTGTTATTGTTACAACGGAAGAGGGAAGGTGGTTCCAATCGGCGGCTGTTTTCGGTAAGAAGGCTGCTGAAAAGAATTTGGTGCGGCAAAAAGGAATGCCAACCTTATGCTGATGATCAATGCGCGATGAGTGGTATGACGGTTGTGAAATGAGGTCTCGCTTCATTGATGGATTGTGAAAAAATATCTTATGAAAAAAATGCAGTCGCGCCAGTTTTCTCCGGACAGTTAAATTGGGTAGGTCAAGGTTAGATTTCATTTCTGATATGCTAGCAGTACGGGAATAATTAGAACAAATGAACCGAACTGAGCGGTTCTGAACAGATTCTAACGCGTTAAATTTTGCTGCACGGGATCCCATATAGCGGACGCGTACTCAAGCTTTGGGCGAATTAGTGATCGGTATAATAGAATTTTGAGGGACAGCGGAGCGCGAGAAAAGTTGCGGCGTAAGTATCTTAGCGTTCGGTTAGCGTTATTACAGATGTAGGTAACATGCGTGTGCCAAGATAGATTGTTGGTAATGTAAACGCCGAGGTACTTATATGAAGAGACATGCTGGAGGGGAACGGCGTTAATTCTGTAGGTACAGGGGGGAGAAATAGATCGCCGGGTTATTGACATGCATTTAGATTTGTTAGAGTTGAGAGTCATAAGCCATTTATTGCACCAGGTTGAGACAGTGTCAAGGTCTGACTGTAGAAATTGGTTATCATATTCATTGTTTATTTCGCGGTAAATTACACAATCATCTGCAAATAACCTTATAGCGGAGTTAATGCTGTCTGGGAGATCATTAATATATATAAGAAAAAGTAAAGGGCCTAATACGGAACCTTGGGGTACGCCGGATGTTACTTTAGAAAGAGGTGTTATAGCCAATACTCCATTACACTCCATTACTCGAAATAGACTGACCATTTCCTCTCAAGCTTCGCTGCACTTTGTACCCTCAATCCCCGCCACGGTATCTCCATTAAGGTGCTGATATACCCGTAAATCAGATTATTGGGGTCATTGACACGGGGACTACACTAAATATAAATGCCATGTCCGTAACCAAAGTATTGAATTTGTTATTCCCGTAAAATATTTGGGATTGATCATTAATACGAAACTTAGCTGGGACGCTCACATCGACAACGTTTGCGCCAAGGCCTACAAGAAACTATGCTTCTTAAGAAGGAAGCTGAGGTCATGTGATTGGAAAGTTAAACTTGCAGCCTATAAAACCCTAGTTCGACCAGCGCTAGAATACGCATCCCTTGCGTGGGACCCATATTTAAAGAAAGACATACATAAAGTGGAAAGGATTCAGCGGCTAAGCGCACGGTTCATTTTTTCAGACTTTAGGCGCCTCTCCTCCGTTTCTGAAATGTTAAATAAATGTGAGCTGGAACCACTGGAATGTAGGCGAAGAATTTCAAGGTTAGTCTTCTTTTATAAACTATACAACAATGAATCTGGTTTAAATAAAGAATTGTACATTCTGCCACCTCCTCAGCGCTCAGCAAGGTTAAATCATTCAAAAACTGTAAGACCATATGCTCCTAAAAATAACACATTCAAGTACTCCTTTTTTGTAAGAACCATTGAAGACTGGAATTCACTGCCTTCCGACTGCGTGCACGCTCCGACTTCTTCTAGTTTCGACCTCTGTGTTAGGAACCTTATGTAACCCTCTCCTGCTAGGATGGTGAAAAACTGTCTGCAGTATTCCTTAAAATTATACCACGAAGGGTTACATTTAGCAGAAAGAGAACAATTAAACACACCCTATCAGAGATAAACGGTGGTCGATGGCCGGAGCGGACGCACACCGAAGCATCGACTCTTGAAGAGAGCGCTCGCCTGCTCCGGCTCGATCAGGAATGCGGCCACTGCGTGCGGTCGGGGCATTTATTGCTCGGCTTGAGCGAGTCACAAAGCGCTTCATTTTTGCCTGAGCCATTGCGCACGGCCAGCGCTGGTGGGTCATTAAGGCAAATTTTGTTTGCAACGCTTCCCGTCCCTACACGAGAGAGTTCAACGCGTTGTGCTGACACGGGGACTACACTGTATGAACCAAGATGGCCGGGTTACGGCGGTGCCCTCCGCGCAAGAGAGTGTGCCCTGTGTGCGTGTGTTCCGGCAGTGGAACCTGTTCGCGTTCGGCTGCCGCACGGACTGGGTTAGTGCTTCTCCACGGGGGAGGCCGCATGCGATAATTACCGCCCTTCGAAACAGCCGCGCAGCCTGCAGACCACCCACGATTCGCGTCCGAGTACGCCCAGGTTCCCTCAGATGGCGCCACTGGCGTGCGGTCTGTGCAGCACGAAATCGGCGTTTGTTTGGCTGTGTCTTTTTCTACTTTTACTTGACCTGCCACCCTCACCCTCCTTTTCTACCCCCCAACATGCGGCCCTGTGCACCAGAGCGCATCCGCAAACACGACAATTATGGCGCTGCCATGTTTATGTTTACGTTTTTTGTGTTGTCTTTAACAAAAAGAACGTCGCAAGTGAAGCATATTGTTCTTACCATTCACTTTCAGTTTGCTCTGCTGCTAATTCAATAAACTTATTGAAATGCTGTTTTGTTTTTGCATCCAGGATGCAATATTATACTACCATAATAACCACTACTCAGGTGACCAATTATCTCGTTAGTTTTTCCTCTTTTTTTTTTGTTCGCGTTTACGTTCATGGTTTGAGAAATAAGCAGATTTCTTATTGTTTTTTTATTATTGTTGTTGTTGTTGTTGTTGTTGCAACATTGTTTTGCACCGAACAATTGGAACATTTTGTCCCGGTCACTTACAGAGTAGGAAGTAATTTGGAAACGGCAGTTGGAGTATTGCAGATGCCGGCATAATACCTGCGTAGCAAAGAAGTGTGTGGGGGGAGAGGGGGCAGTCTTTCCTAGCGAGGGAGCGAGCGTTAGTATAAGGCAGCGAATAATGAGTGCGATCCGGCATCAGGAAGAGCCTTTTCACGCTCGAGTGCGGACGTGCTAAAGTTATTTGAACGAGGTGTCTGCATAGAGCGCCTGTCCATACACCGCGCATGTGGGTCATTTGTCGGAGACAAATAGCAGCCGCTACTAAATTCGTCTCTATTCCGCGATACGCCTTACGAAAGGGTGCGTGCGCTTAAAGCCGTGATCGAGATGGATAATCAGGTGGGGCATTTTGTATGCGGCAACTGTTAAAGTACAGTACGGGGTAAAGCGGATTGCCGGTGTTATTCATCAACTCAACCAGCTGGGCGACGATGCATCTTGCGAACGTGAGCAGGAATGTAACTTAGAAGTGTGGAAGCTTGGGCTAGTTGGTATGGCATGACGATAGTTATAGCGCGAGAACAAAACGACGACACAGAGACAAGAAGGACCATCTGTTAGCGCTCGTGTCGTTCGTGTCCTTCTTGCCTCTGTGTCGTCGTTTTGTTCTCGCGCTATAACTATCATCATGAGCAGGAAGGCTGGCTTAAGAACTCCGGTTGTTTTATGTTGATAAGGGTAAAAGGTCGATAGTCAGGTGGAAATTGGCATCGAGCAATCAAGAACTGGAGCCGTACGGGTTAAACAAATTCTGTCACGGCCATGTAACGTCGTTCTTGCAGTTTTTCAGGCGGCCATATATTCCCTTAACGCAGCCACATAACCCGCACTGCTCCTCCATTATGGCAGCATAACGCCCAAAAATCGTGTCAACTTTCTTGAACGAATATACTCTTAAATTATAGAAATGCTTTTCAACGATTAAAACATGGACGTTAGTCAATCTCGTTGATTCTACAATCGTCATAGCTTCTAAGTACATTATATATTATAAATATTTGGTGGAACTGCTGTTCCAAGCGTTCATCCAGTATAGAGCACCAGTACAGGACGCGTCATGGGCACGTGATATGCGGGGTGTTCTTCTGTGCAGTCTGTTGCTAAATAAACCAGTAAGCAATAGATATTGTATACCATACCATTCTTTCTTCTGGGAATGCACTGCAGAAATGTATTACTCCAGGCTAATTTATAAAATCCCCATACTTTGCCAAATGTCTTGAAGGGGGGCGTAGCTATAACTTCTTTTTTTTTTCGGAGGGGGTGGGGGAGTCCGATTTCTGTTTATGCACATTCGTGTATGTGTACTTGTGCTCGTATATACAAACAAATACATGCCAAAAAATTTAGGTGGGGAGGGGGGGTTACTGGCCTCCCCAAACCAACCCCCTGGCAGTGAATTATTTTTACTTCATCCTTTTCAGAAACATAGTCGCACGTCTTCCTTTTAAGGTAAGATATACGCACTCTAATTAGCTATTTCAGGCCAGTGATTTGCTGGCTTTACTAGGGCTGCACGTCTTGCGCACCAGCTTCTCCGCCCATGGTGCCAATAATGCACACTAATGCAACACTCGACGTGCGGGCACGTGCACACGGAAAATGTCCCGTTGCGAGCGCCTCAGCCGACTTTGCACTGTAACCACCATCGATGGCCATGTATCAAGTTGCACAGCTTCGCTGAACCGAAAAAGCCCCAAGGAGCCGCGCTGTCCAAACCATTGGAGCTGCGTGCATATACGGCTCGGCGGACGCA